AAAGAGAAAAAACTGTCTTTCAAACAACATATTCAAAGGTTACTGCATAAGTCATGATAGATAATTTCTGTGTCTTCTCCTAAGATAATGTATAAATAGACTTTTTGTTGGACACTGCTGGGCAGAAACACATTCACAATCTGTCACACCACAAGATACCTGCTAAAACACAATCTGTTACTACTTCGCTCTCTCTCTCTCTCTCATGTATATGCACACACATAGTTTATGGAAAAGAAATTCCAAAAAGTTTCTGATTGAAAAGGAACAAAAAATTATGAAAGGGAGAAAAAACAGAAATGTTTTTGTTTCTTGCCTGGGAAAGTACAAGACACATTTGGATAATAAAAGGCCATATTTTGGCTTTTATGTTATTAGTTATGTAGAAGGTACATAGGGGAAGTGTTGTGATATTAGCAAATTAGGACTCTAAGGCAGAATTGTGGGGTATTCAATCAGAATTTGTTCAAGAGATTTGGGTTAGAACAAAACAGAATAGCAGTTTTTATACATTTTGTAAAGTGTCCAGTCAACCCCGAGGTTGGTTATAGTTCAATCATTGTCCCACCTTTCTCTCTTTCAGATGGCTACTGAAGTTGGAAACATTGATTTTATTTACATGGCTTTCAAAATATAAAAGGCTCATAAGCAAAATAAATATTGAATAGGGAACTTGACCAAATAACAAAATAAGTTGGAAGATGGGAAGAAAATTCATGATGAATCCAACAGTAATATATAAAAAAATTTTTTCATGCTGGATCCGCACCTTAGGGTGAGGTATTTTATAGGAAGTTTCAGCAAGAGAATGGTCCAGACAGTCATGTTAATGAGAATAGGGCAAAATACACATTTTCCCCTGTTTAAAAAACCTTACAGCTAATTGTTGAAAGTGTTGGCCACTATATGCTTCAGCAAAGAGATTTGAAATTTGGAGGCAGGGAAGATAATCATCCTTGTATCAAGGATGTGTCTTTTTCTGTTCCCATGATGCCCTTCCCCAAACAAAATGGTCAATTTCTGATCCCCTTGAAAAGTCTCAGTTTGGACATAGTTTGATATATATTAGTTAACCAAATTCTCTGAAAATTTTGTCTGCGACAGACATTATGGAAAAGATCAAAAAGCTAAAATCTAGAAAAGTTAAAGGCAACTGAAAATTAAGTCTCATATGGGATCTGTCAGGAACCCTAACTACGGCATTATTACCTGTGCTCCAGTAATGTAAAGAACATAGAAACACTTAGGCGAGGTCTAGACTACAGTCCTTTGTTGAAAAAAGCAACGCAAATTGCGCTTCACAATTTGTGTAGCTTTTTCCGATAGCTTTTTCCAGAAGAGGCTTTTAATGGTGAAAAAGCCTCCTCTTTTGGAGGAGTCCTTATTCCTCATAGAATGAGGTATACAGGGCTCCCTGAAAGAGTGCATTTGCTCTTCCAAAAAAAAAAAAAGTGGAAGAGCAAACGCGTTCTCTGGACGCGATGGAGTTTTCCTGGGATACCAGACATGCCAGTCTAGATGTACCTTAATGAGATGGATAGAGACAGCACTAGAATTTTCTTAAGTGTGCAGTCAGGGCCCTTGTTGAGATATTTAATCATTCTTTCTGCCCCTAAAATTTGTACAGATGTCATCACGAGTTTTGGATGCACAAGTAAAACAAGGTCATTTCTTCCTGGTATCTAATTCAGATATTTGAAGAATTAATATTTATTAAGATTCAGCTTTTTTAACTTTTCAGTTTTGGCAGTTAGGATGGCACATTATTTCAACTACTGTGCCAAATGCATAATACCTTTACTTTTCTGAGAACTCTGCCATTAGAAAATCTTGGACCTGCTCCTATTCCTACTGAAATCAATGGCAAAATTATCAGTGGATACAAGATTGGGCCCTCACCACAGGTTTCCTCACTTTCTTGTGAGAGTTATGTGGTCTCCACTAAGATACTTTCTGTTATTACGAAATGTATTCTGCTACAAAGATAAAGCTATATTTTATTATGTAAGGAACAGTTTGTGCTACTGTGAAAGTTGCCTGCAGTATCTATTTATAACTTTTAAAACATGTTTTTTCTTCACTATTGCTCTGCTTTATTGTCAATGTAATTAGCACAGCTTTAGATTGATATTGTTTTGTATGTTATTTTATTTCTTTCATGTCTTCTATTTTTTAAAATGATGATTTTCGCTCTGTCATCATTAACAGTTATTATTATTTGTGTCCACATTAAGCGTACAACTGTCATGCATGATAGTACTTAATGATATTCATTTAACATTACTGTTGATCTAATAAATGCACTAAATATTAACAAACATTATTGACACAATTGATTTTTTTTATTCTCTTGACACAGAAAAGATTGACAGCTCTTGTCCTATCCTCAACCTCTCAGAAATAGGCAAAATCACTGAGGAAATGGTGTCAGCCAAACTCCAGCAACATGTGTCAACAAACATCACAGGACAGACAGGGAAAAAAGGGAGGAGGGGTTGCCTTGTATATTAAAAATGTACACACTTGGACTGAAGTGGAGATGAACGTAGGAGATAGCTGTGTAGAGAGTCTCTGGGTTAAGCTAAAAGGGGTAAAAAACGAGGGTGATATCATGCTAGGAGTCTACTACAGGCCACCTAGCCAGGTGGAAGAGGTGGATGAGGCCTTTTTTAAACAATTAACAAAACTATCCAAAGCCCAAGATTTGGTGGTGATGGGAGACTTCAACTATCCAGACATATGTTGGGAAACTAACACAGCGAGGCACAGGCTATCCAATAAGTTTCTGGACTGCATTGGAGACAACTTTCTGTTTCAGAAGGTTGAAAAAGCTACCAGAGGAGAAGCTGTTCTGGATTTGGTTTTAACAAATAGGGAGGAACTAGTTGAGAACTTGAAAGTGGAAGACAGTATAGGGGACAGTGATCACGAAATAATAGAGTTCATGATCTTAAGGAAAGGTAGAAGGGAGACCAGCACAATTGAGGTAATGGATTTCAGGAAGGCAGATTTTGATAAGCTCAGAGAACTTGTAGGTAAGGTCCCATGGGAAGCAAGACTGAAGGGAAAAACAACTGAGGAGAGTTGGAAGTATTTCAAAGGGACGTTGTTAAGGGCCCAAAAGCAAACAATTCCGCTGTGTAGGAAAGATAGAAAATATGGCAAAAGACCAGCTTGGCTTAACAAGGAGATCTTGCATGATCTCAAAATAAAAAAGGAGTCATATAAAAAATGGAAACTAGGACAACTAACAAAGGATGAATATAGGCAAGCAACACGGGAATGCAGGGGCAAGATTAGAAAGGCAAAGGCACAAAATGAGATCAAACTAGCTACAGGCATAAAGGGAAACAAGAAGACCTTTTATAAATACATTAAAAGCAAGAGGAAGACCAAGGACAGGGTAGGCCCACTGCTTAGCGAGGAGGGAGAAGCAGTAACAGGGAACTTGGAAATGGCGGAGATGCTCAATGACTTCTTTGTTTCGGTCTTCACCGAGAAGTCTGGAGGTGTGCCTAACGTAGTGAATACAAGCAGAGAGAGGGTAAGTTTAGAAGATAGGATACACAAAGAACAAGTTAAAAATCACTTAGGAAAGTTAGATGTCAGCAAGTCACCAGGTCCTGATGAAATGCATCCCAGGATACTCAAGGAGCTGATAGAGGAGGTATCTGAGCCTTTAGCTATGATCTTTGAAAAATCATGGCAGACAGGGGAGATTCCAGAAGACTGGAAAAGGGCAAATATTGTGCCCATCTATAAAAAGGGGAATAAGAACAACCCAGGAAACTACAGACCGGTCAGTTTAACGTCTGTCCCAGGGAAGATAATGGAGCAGGTAATTAAGGAAATCATATGCAAACACTTGGAAGGTAATAAAGTGATAGGGAATAGCCAGCATGGGTTTGTGAAGAACAAGTCATGCCAAACTAATCTGATAGCTTTCTTTGATAAGATAACGAGCCTTGTGGATAAGGGAGAAGCGGTGGATGTCATATACCTAGACTTTAGTAAGGCATTTGATACGGTCTCGCATGATATTCTTATTGATAAACTAGGCAAATATAACTTAGATAGGGCCACGATAAGGTGGGTGCATAATTGGCTGGATAACCGTAGTCAGAGAGTTGTTGTTAACGGTTCTAAATCCTGCTGGAAAGGGATAACAAGTGGAGTTCCTCAAGGGTCTGTTTTGGGACCCATACTGTTCAACATCTTCATCAATGATGTAGATATTGGGATAGAGAGTACGCTTATTAAGTTTGCAGATGATACCAAACTGGGTGGGGTTGCAACTTCTTTGGAGGATAGGGACATAATTCAAAATGACCTTAGCAAGTTAGAGAAATGGTCAGAGGTAAACAGGATGAGGTTTAATAAAGAGAAATGCAAAGTGCTCCACTTAGGAAGGAACAATCAGTTCCATACATACAAGATGGGAAGCGACTGTCTAGGAAGGAGCATGGCAGAAAGGGATCTAGGGGTCATAGTGGACCACAAGTTGAATATGAGTCAACAGTGTGATGCTGTTGCAAAAAAAGCAAATATGATTCTAGGTTGTATCAACAGGTGTGTTGTAAGCAAAACTCGTGAAGTCATTCTGCCGCTCTACTCTGCACTAGTTAGGCCTCAGCTGGAGTACTGTGTCCAGTTCTGGGCGCCACATTTCAAGAAAGATGTGGAGAAATTGGAAAGGGTACAGAGAAGAGCAACAAGAATGATTAAAGGTTTAGAGAACATGACCTATGAAGCCAGGCTTCATGAACTGGGCTTGTTTAGTTTGGAAAAAAGAAGATTAAGGGGGGACATGATAGCGGTTTTCAAATATCTAAAAGGGTGTCACAAGGAGGAAGGAGAAAATTTGTTCCTCTTGGTTTCTGAGGACAGGACAAGGAGTAATGGGCTTAAAGTGCAGCAGGGGAGGTTTAGATTGGACATTAGGAAAAAATTCCTAACTGTCAGGGTGGTCAAATATTGGAATAAATTGCCAAGGGAGGTGGTGGAATCTCCCTCTCTGGAGATATTTAAGAACAGGTTAGATAGACATCTGTCAGGGATGGTGTAGACAGAGCTTGATCCTGCCTTGAGGGCGGGGGGCTGGACTCGATGACCTCTTGAGGTCCCTTCCAGTCCTATTATTCTATGATTCTATGAAAAGCATGAGTGGCGTGGAGAGGGTGCATAAAGAAAAGTTCTTCGAGGACAGGACAAGGAGTAATGGGCTTAAAGTGCAGCAGGGGAGGTTTAGATTGGACATTAGGAAAACATTCCTAACTGTCAGGGTGGTCAAATATTGGAATAAATTGCCAAGGGAGGTGGTGGAATCTCCCTCTCTGGAGATATTTAAGAACAGGTTAGATAGACATCTGTCAGGGATGGTGTAGACGGAGCTTGATCCTGCCTTGAGGGCGGGGGGCTGGACTCGATGACCTCTCGAGGTCCCTTCCAGTCCTATTATTCTATGATTCTATGATTCTATGATCACTATCCAGCTGTGTACTGGGTCACTGAATGGAGAAAACACTAATCACAGCAGAATGGTGGCCTATTCATGGCAAAGACAGAAGCATATTCCAATATTCAAACTACTGGCCTCTCTAGCAGTTTTTCATAAGTTAACCATTGTGTGCAGCTGATAGAGGTAGAAGAGAGGGCACAGGACTTCAGCAGCAGTAATCATTACTTTTTAACCAACCTGGAAGGTGATGAGCATCTTGTTCATCTTTCTCCAAGGCTTTCACTGAATGAGATTCCTTAAGATCCAGCCCATCATGCTTTCTCTTCCATATCTTCTGGAAATTGCTTGGAGAGATGGTGTCAGTTGCTGCTCCCAACAATATATTCATAACACCCAGGTGTAGACCTCATTTTCCATGGATACTACCAACTGTTGCAGGAATGTCATAATAGCAGTGGGAAATCTGTGTTGCAGCTGGGTCAAACTGCCATCAGATGAGACTAGGGATGGAAAGGTTTCAGAGAGGCATCTGAGTCTTGTTTCCTGTTGGAGCAAATTTGTGGAATCCTATTCAGCTTATCACTGAAGTTCTAATCTATTCACATTTATTCATATGCTTTTATTTATGGACTGCAAGTTGTACCTTTTATGACATGTGCTTAAGTCCCTTTGAAGGATCAGGATCCTTCCTGTGAACAATCAGTAGCAAATTAAGGCGATTAAGGATTTGGAGTTGTGGTTACAGAGAAAGACAAAAGAAACTTGTCCTTTATGGTATAGGTATGTCCTGATAAATGAAAAGCTGGTTGAATAAATTTTCAGTAATAATCTATTGTTTATGTCATATTTATATAAAAGTGACTTGTAGTCAATTC